TAGCCATTAATAGCATTGCAGACACCTAAAAGGAATTTTATTCCCTGCCTATTCTGTTCAACAAAACCCCTCTTCTTTCTGCTCCCAGACAGCTTCCCAGAAGTTGAAGGCTACTCCCAATTTGTTGCTCCTTTTTCTTACTTTGAGATTTCACACTGCATCATTGAAGCTGCTACTGTCTTCATTAGAATCAGTTTCCAGGACTTTTTCTCCAAATTGTTCCAATTTCTCATCCTGAGCCATTTGTTTACAAATATTTTTTTCATAATTTCCACTCCTGTCCCACATTTTTCCATGCTGAGGCAGAACTAATATTACCATCCCATCTCACGATTTCCAGATCCATTCAGATCCCCATTTTTCCTGGCATAGAAAACAGTCTTCTTTTAAAATCATACACTTCTAGGAGAAAAGCATGATCCGAGTAACAAATAGTGAATACAGGGTTTTATTTTTCCTCTTTCTCGTTTCCCTAACATTTCTACAAAGTTGAAAGCATTGTTTCCCCCCTACCTAAGGTGGCATTTTATGCAAACCAGCACAGGTATATCTACTTCAGACTTCACAGCAGTCTTATTGTTTGGTTTCAAAACTAGAACAGGACCAGAGTTGAACTGTGACACACTTATAAGAAGGTCAAGTAATTAATTTGGAAAACATTGACCTTAAGGTTGAAGCACTTTGGCAAAACTCAGGTAGTTTAAAAGATAATTTTCTTCATTCCTCCAGAATCTGTGTTTTATTTCCAGGGAAAAGAGTGAAAATAAATTTTGAAAGTATTTGCTCAGCTATATTGGTCCCATCTATAAACTCTGTAGACAACTAGTCCATGAGTGATTTAGTAAGAGAATTGAATATAAATTCTCTTAGAGCTGAAACCACCGTTGATCTAGTATTTTCTCCAAAGTCAACAGGAAGAATCTTAATGACTGCTGGGATGTTTCAGTGATGCACATGAACACAGGAAACAATGTTGTTTGGATATTAGTACCAGGTTGAGTTCCTGGTACCCGAGATGAGATGAGATCCCTGATTAAGCAGTAATGTCCTTAGTTGAGTCTGGCATTCAGCACGGAACTGGAGAGTTCACATCATGGTAAGACACCTCCCCAGTATGCTTAGACTCAAAATTAGGAACTCTATTTGAAGTACTGTCACTAATATATATTAAGACAGAACCCAAATATGTGCCAGTACGTGTCTTCAAAACTGCACTAAGGTTTATAACCTCAAATAGTTAGAACCAAGCACATATGAGAAGGAAAAAACCCCACCTGCCTGTAGTCAATTGAACCAACAGAATTAAGTAGCAAAGAAAAACAGCAAGCCAAGTATAAAATTAGAAATCAAGTTGTAATCGGCAATGGTTTCCGAAGGAGGCAAACAGGTTTGAAAAAATGCTTCTTTTTCTCCATCTCTGACAATTACGTAGATGAAGGAATAAGAAACTCCAATTCACAAGTTTTCCTAAACATTAGCATGAGAAGAAATATTGTGTTCCAAATGCTGTCCCAGCAGTACTTTGACACTGAAGCCTAGCAAATAGAATTTAATACAGAGAAGTGGACTTTGCATAATGGAAATTAAATATTAATTGTAACCACAAAGTATAGAGCGAATAATGTAGACAACAGATATTAAAAGGATTAATGAAGTGTAATAGATTTTTTTCTCCCTGGCTATATTGTAAGAGCAAGAAAATGGGAGAGTAAGGTGCTTGGCTAACCGCAAATCCTGTCTAAGTTATGCTACACAATAAACAAAATAATCTGTATTTACTGTACTAAATTCAGTTTTAGCTCATTATTTATAGGAAGTATTTAGGGAAAAAAAAAAAAAAAAAAAAAATATCCCAGTCACTGTCAAATAAGGATTACTATGAACTTGTGTTTCCTCACTCTGTTTCAAAAGACATACCATTAAATTCTTAATAGTGGTTAGCGAAAAATATATATTATTATCAGCAGGTTTGTTATTTCCTTCACAGGTGCTTATTTATGAAGGTTTCATTAGGTTTCAGTAAAGCATATTCATTCCCCATATTTCTTCTAAGTAAACACATTTGTAATTATTATTGATGGGAAGAATTATGTGGCAGCAATGCAGAGCAGGGATCATAAACAAACAGTAAGACTCACCAAGTTATATACAGACACAAATACAAACGATGGTGTTGCTAACAGCTAGTAAGCGTACAAAATTGGTGCTCTTATTGTATTGTGTGACATTAGGGTCAAGCATGTGAAATAAAGAATTGTATAGTTCATTTAGGCTCCCCATACATTCCTTTTAATGAAGCATTAAAAAGCTTCTAGTAGAGCCTGGAATACAATATTAATGTGGTAAGCCATTCTT